CCTACTAGTTCTACTCGTTTTTAACTTCCTAACCCTATCTTAACAAGGAACATAAACGAACTGGTTGTGCTAGAAGTATCATAGATGCAATGTATTTTTCATCTGAAAAGTACTTCGTGTGGCATACGGCTATATGCTATGTGGACTGTCGAATTATACGATGTGACGAATACATCGATTACATTAATCCAGTCTTTTCTTTGCAGTTGATTGTTTTGATCCCAAAGTAATTTAGTGAAACCACGGCCCACAGTCTGATTAAGCTGCTCGATTTGTCCTTGTGACTGTGGATGCTAAGGCTGACTGTGCCTAATTTTAATGTTCATAGCTCTACAAATTTGTGTGATTACATTTGCAACAAATTCTTTACCATTATCACTTTGAAGGGTTGTAGGGGGCCCAAGGATCTTAAAAATATCCTTAAGAAGATGTGTCACAACTGTTCCTGTTTCCTTATTTTTCATCAGGACTGCGACAAGAAATTTAGAAAACACACAAACACACGTAAGCAGCCACGAAAAATCTTCATTCTCTTTAGCAAAATCACGAAAGTTGACTAAGTCGATTTGAACATGCTGCCAAGGGCCCAAAGACACTACAGATATTACGTCAGTTTTTTCTTTTATAGAGGTATTTATAGCACAGGTGGGATATTCGTTTACGTATAGTTTTACCTCTTCTTGTATGATTCTAATATGTTTTTCTAAAATCGCAGAAAAAGTTTTATGATATTCACAGTGATTTGCTTGGTCATGAAAGTGTTCTAAAATTAAAGCACGCATTTCTACATTGTATTTGGAGACTACACAGCATTTTTCGGACTTAACTACACTATTCTTTACTACAGGCTTAGCGTAAAGAACTCCATTTTTGTTAACTTCAAAATTCTTGCAGCGGCGAACGAAGTTGGAATGTACGGTGGGGGTGATAGGGCTCTTTAGAATACTATCTGGAAAAGTTTCTGAATGAATATATTCAACTATCATCTAATACTCTTCTACTGTCTCGGGAATTTTGGGAATTGGTGCTATGTTAAAAAAAAAAAAAAGGTTTTTTTTTCCTGAGTGGGCAGTAGGTGGTGGACGTTGCTTTCTTGAGGGTGTGGTGGGCGTTGCTTTTCTTGGGTGGGTGGTGGGTAGTGGGTGCTGTTTTTTCTTGGATAGATATTGTTTTTTTTGGGTGGATGAGTGGGCAGGTTTTTCTTGGATGATGTTGTGATGTTTTTTTTGTTGCTTTTGAAGAAAAAAAAAACGATTCGATTGTTTTTTTTTTTTGATAATCAAGTTACATGATCTGATTTAATCAACAGGTTGATTACAGGCCGAATTCAGATCAGTGCATGGTTACGGGTCGATTATGGATCATGTAGATTTCATGATAATCTGATTTTACGATAATTTGCGATATTTATTATTAATATATTATTAATTAGTTTTATTATTAGTTATATTCAATATATTATTATTATTATTTTGACAGTATTGGCTAGTTATACTAATAATCTATATTTATTAAAGTTTTGTTGCTACTGATAACAATATAATAATAAAACTATAGCCTAATATCATATATCTGCTTCAATATAACAAAGTTATCTGAGTGTTTATATATAATTAACTATACTAGTAAAATAATTAATACTTATATAAAAGACAGATATTAACTTACTATCTGTTTAGAGTTATATTTAAAAGAAAAAGAAAATTTGTATATAAAAAAAATACAGAAATATAGAAGTATATGATAAAAAAAAATATATATAAGAAAAAAAGTAAGAGAAAAATAAAAAAAAAAACAACAAATATGAATAGTCATAATTATAAATCTGTATTAGGCTTGATAAAAATTATATATAGTCAAACTTCTATAAATACAATATGTACTATTATAGATAAAACTACATATTTCTAGAATTAAAAATTATATAGAATAATATATATTTGTTCTATAAATCATTATACAAGAGATCATTAGATCACAATATTTAAAATTTACAATTTTTATATGATGATTATATACAAGCAAACCTATTAAAGCTAGATTCTTTGTATTGAAGTGTTAAACAATGATCTTATAAAAGCCAAGCCTCTATCTATAATCTTATTAAAGAAAAAGATATTTATCTAATTTAGTTAATAGCTATTAAAATATTATTACTTTGTTGGATAAAGCATATAGCTATAAAAGAGAAAAGCATATAGATTAATAAAAGAGTTAATAAATGAATCAATAAAATTGATAGATAAAAAATGATGACAGTATAGAAGTCTTTATTCAACTTATCTTTCCTTGCTTTTTTTTTATTCTATCAAAACTTCAATAAAAATGGCTATAAGTAAGAATTGGAATTAAACCAAAAAAAAATCAAATAGCTTAAATCTAATAATAGTTCAATGACAAATAATAGAAAAAAATATTTAATCTTGTTTTTTCTTATCTGTAATTTTGTTATAAATTAAAGGCAGAAATTTTTCTTAATAGATTATAATAATAAGTATTTTATGAATTAGTACATATATAATTTTGCCTTTACACAATAAAATCATTAATACAAAATCTTTGAATAAATCTATGCTAAATGCTTACTGTATTTTTGTATAATAACATGCAAAGTATAATTTCGAATTTTGGCCTAAATTAAGCTTAACTTAGGCCAAAATTTAAAATAATACTCATAGGCATTATTACGTGAAAATATGGTATTAAATATTGCACTGACTTACTCATTTAACAATACTTAGTAAATATTTATTATTCTGTGTTAAATCAAAATCTATTTTATTTTTCTACTAGATATTGTTATTCAACTTTGCTTTTTCTTAAATACCAAGATTATTATTTTTCTTTTTTTTTGTTGGAGATATAATTTTGGTCTATTAGTTTCTAACAAATTGGTAATGACAATAAGATAGGATATCCTTATTCCAAAGTCTAAGATTATAAGATCAAGCACTTAATTAGAGACTTCAAATAGCTAAACTATAAGATTCAATAATTCTAATTATAAAAAACAAAGCTATTACAATAATTATTCTTTTTTCAATATTTTTTTGTATAAAATTGGTTTTCTTTTTGAATTGAGTTTTATGTAAACTTTTTTGTTGTTGTTAATAACCAATATATCAAGTCTGAACCAATATAATATTAAAGATTTATAGACCAATAAACCGAGTCTATCTAAAGTTTGTCTTGTTTTTTTCTCTTCTTATATATTATTGTATTGCCTTTTCTTTTTATGATTCTCAAATTGTTACCAAGTACTAAGCTAGCTAAAAAAGTATAAACAAATAAATAAATAAATAAATGATAAAAAAATATATATATAAAACATTCTAAACAATTTTCTAAAAAAAGTCTTAGTATATATATTTTAATATAAAAAAATATACTATATCTATATATCTAGTTGTAAGAAGGCTAAATAAAAAGTATACTATGATTCTTAGATTATTTATATTAGAACAACTCAAGTCAGTTTAAAAAATAATAAATAAAAACTTCAATATTCTTCTTGATACTGAGCAAATCTTCAAAACCCTGAAGCTTATAATAAAATTTTAAAAAAAATATTAAAGAATAAATATAATAAAAAAATCATATACCTGCTCCTATATATCCAACTGGCCTAATCACAAGAAGAATAAGCTCACTTCTAGTATCTTTTGTGATTGTTGTACTGAAAATCCCTTTTGTAAAGCTCTGTTAAAAAAAATCTGCTATAGCAAAAAATATAAAACTTAGTTTTGAAGAAGAGAATATTGATCTAAAGCTTTTTTTTAAAAAATTGGCTGCTAAATATGATATTATCATACAGAATTAGGCTCTGAAAAAAAAATCTGAAAGTAAAAAAAATCTCTAAAACCAAACCCAAAGTTTGCAATAACAAATAATAAAATAAAAGCCTAGAAGCATTGCTGCCAAATTGGAATTGTAATCAAAAAAAATAAAAAATGATATTTGAAATCTGTCAAAAGTAAAAAGCTAGATGAAATTAATAGCAAAAATATAAAAATAATAGAATTAAAGTTGGAAAAAACCTACTCAAAACCTTTATATATGATCAAAAACTAATAAATATATGCTATAAACTAAGTATTCTTAATAATCACTTTTGCAACAAATTGGAGCTGTATAAAAATCCTTGGTACAATCTCAAAAGTTTTGTAGTATATCTCACTAGTGCTAGAAATAGTTCTGCTAATAAAATTGACCTTGGATCTTGCTATCAAAATAGAATTAGTATTGAAAAAATAATTGCAATATATTTATTTATTACTAAAAGTCTGCAGGTATGGGTAATACTAATAGAATATATCTGATTAAATCTAGCTATAAGAAAAAAATTAAAGCTAAAAAGATTAAAATAAATACTGTTAGTAAGTCAGAACTATTTGAATTAGATTTGAAGAAAGAAAAAAAATACAAAACTCATTTATAAGGCTTATTAATAATAATGAAATCAATAACAAAAATAATCATAAGATATTAATTAGTAATAATAGTACAGTCACCTCTTGCTATACCGAACGGGCCGTTCTATAAATTTTTTGTTCGGTATAGATAAATTCGGTATACAGTCATCTCTCATTTATATCAACCCATTTGGATCGCTTTTATATTCATGTTGATAGTGATATTAATGAGGGATCATATATATGAGAGAATTTTAATCTAACTTTAATATATAGAAATTCATTTTATAGTTTAGGTTGATATCAACGGGGTTGATATTAATGAGGGACGACTGTATTACTTTTTTTTTTATACCGAATATGTATAAAAGGTTTGTTATAAATAACTGACCAATAAAATTTATTCACGTGATTATATGTATCATTTAAGGAATCCCGACATATTTTATAGTTTTAACGATTGCTTTTACTTACTAAATACCAAACGATTTAATATTTTATTATAAGTATAATAATAAATACCTTAAAATTTTAACATCATATACATAATCAAATGCTTACAATTTATAAGAAAACTATTTTAAAATTTTAGTTCATAAAGTAGTGGCCAAGTTCTACCTGCTTAAGATTTTTAATAAAACTTAGTCTAATTCTTCTATGCAAACTTCTTAAAATCCTTACTTCATCTTCGATTTCACCAAATTCTGCTTCCTGCTCAAGCAAAAACCTTAAAATCGTGTTCACAGCTTTTTCTGCTTCATTGCTGCTAACTTTTTCTAATTCAATAACTTCACTATTAACAGGTTCATTTTCTTCTTCATTCTCATCAGTTACTGCCTTCAAAATTTCCTCATTCGTAATTCCACCTTCAATTTCATTATCTTCAATATGAACGTATTCATTAGCACTAAGAGAGTCGTCGATTGACAGGTGAGTAATTAATAATCAAAGTTCATCTTCCAAGTTATACTCCTTCTGATCAGTAATGATCGCATCTTGTTCATTTTCATTAATCTCAGGCGGAAGAATACCAGTTTTTTTCCAGCAATTCACAATTGTTTCAGATGATACCATTGACCATGATTCTGTTGCGTTAAGCAATACATTGTAAATATTATATTCTTCTAGCTCTTTCACATGACTATTTTGAAAATTATCATAAGCTTTGATCCGATTTTGTACAAAAAGGCACTTGTAATGGCATTTAAATGAATGAATATTTCCAAGATCACAGGGCTGGAGAATTGGTATAGTATTTTTAGGCAGAAACTCAACACGCATATTACTTAATTCTTCTTGAGTTTCATCAAGAATTATATGTACGGGAGCATTATCAACTAAAAAAATAATATTTTGATTTTTTTGTTTCATTTTATTATTTAGTTTGAGAAAAATTTTATTAAAAATATCAACTTGCATCCATGCTTTCTTATTAAAGAAATAGTATACAAGAAGATTATCATAGTTGAGATTTCGCATAGGATGAGGTTTTTTAAATTGGTGAATAAAGGTAAGCTTTATTTTTTCGGTTCCTGCAGCATTTACAGCACACAAAATAGTTACACAGGCTTTTTCTTTTTTGTGGCCAGAGATTTTGGAACGTGCTAAGATTCTTGAGGGTTCTATCTTCCAAAAAAGACCTGTTTCGTCACTATTTCAAATATCCTCAAGATCATAGGTAGAGAGCATTTGCTGTAAAATAATACGATCATTGGCAATTGATTCAGCAGAAGGTGTGCTTGCTTTTTCATCTTGTTTTTTAAATTGGCGAAGCCCATTTTATTTTTTAAACCCACTTAACCAACCTTTCGATTGGTTAAAATTGTTAATATTTAATTTTTCAGCAAAAGAATTTGCCTTTAATTTGAGAATTGCACCGTCAATATCTTGATTTATAATCAATGCATTATTAACCCAAAGACTAAATGCATTTTCTAACTTTGGTCATTTTGGACCTTAAAATTTCTTATTCTCCTGTTCTTCATCCAAAATAGCGAGCCAACGATCCTTTTCATTTAAAATATCGGTTACAGTTGATTTCCCAATACCATATTGTTTTGCTAATTCAACATTACTAATAAGTGGGTTTTTTTGTTTTTTTCTACAAAGGTTTTGCTTTTGTGTGGCCATAAGACTAATACGTTTGTGAACCAACATGGTCAAATATGATTTTTGATTGGAAAAGTATTCAAAAAATTTTTTTAAAGCTATGTAATGATTTTTAGCAGTTTATGAAAGTTTTTTCTTATAATTAAAAAACTTTTTTATTTTTATATTGTTTAATCATAAAACACAAAATTCTTGGCCATCTTGGGCAAGGAACACAAATAGAAAACTATTTGTGCTGTGTATCATATTATTGGTTTGGGAAGTTTTTTGTTTTCTTTTTTTTTATTTTTTAGTTATTTTTTTTTTTATTCTTTTAATTTTAATAATCTTTAATGGCTATCGTAAAGATTCAGATAAAGTAGTAGAACCGGAA